TAATCTCGGGCGAGGTCATTGAGGTACATTTTCTAGCAGTACGATTAACCCAAACTACAATGAAGGTTAACGAGGGCAGAAGTTGAAAGAGTGTGGAAATTCACCCTGCTTAAATTTGCAAGTAAACGATTATTCCCGTTGTTAATTTGAAAGCCATTTTGCTTAATACGCTGACTTAAGCGGTTATTGCATGCGGTAGCCTTCCGAGAACTCATTTGCAGTTCAATGCCACTATCCAACCCCTATTGTGTCGAGGGTTGGCCTGCGGAAAACTCGAAGATTGTGGGTGATTCAACCTGCTTAAACATTTTAAATAGGTGGTTATAATACATAAGGACCCTTCTGCGATTCCAATAGGTACTCTTACAGGATATTTTAGTGAGACCTTATAAATCACCCTGTAGGGTTTCGCTGGAGTCCACATGATGTCGGGAATCAACAATGTGGGCGCGAATGGCGCTGTGTATGCTCCTAACTTCACTTGTTTTCAGCCATGCCGGGAAGTTTTCCCTTATTCTTTTGGATAAGTGCCGAATCCTGTGACTAGTATAACTTGCTCCACAAGAGCAACTGAATGAGTAGATGCACATGGAGGTGGTCTGGGCTGGCAACCCATTCTTGCCTTCCCCATGCAAGACCGAGTTGGTTGAGAATAATAGCCAAACTGTCACTGCTGGGAAGGTTCGTGACACGGCTTGGTTAAGACATCTTCTTAAAAGTTCATTCACCGCATCCCCTTGAAAGGGGACCTTGAATAATAGTGTCTTCTTTTCCACAGTGAGTGTGGTGGGTTTTATTTGTCTCGCCGCCACACTCTTGATGATGAATCTGTCAGGATACCCGTTCTCGCGAAGCAGGTCCTGAATTTTATTCAGCTCCATTTAAATACTGTCTGCCGTGCAAATATTTCTAGTCTTTTGCGCTAAGCAGCGGACTAGATTGCGTTTGTGTTGGATGGGTACGAAACTGTTTAAGTTTTATACTGTCCGGATCAGGTTTTCTTTCGATGAACGCTCATTCGGACGCTATGGTCAGGTCTTCGATTTAGAAGGGCGTCACCGAAGAGAAGCGAACCTGCCGTGTCAACCACCAACGTGAACGTAACTGAAGGATGTGCTTGCTTGACAGTCTCTAAGGATGCCTCCGCATCGGTTACTGCGGGGTGATGGTAAATATGTTATCAACATAACGAACGTAGTGTTTTAACTTATTGATCCGTTCGCTTAGTGGACATTTCTTCAGCTTGGTAAGAGAGGTCAAAGAGGAGAGCCCACAGTGACACCATTTATTTGTCCATATAGTTGGTTATTGAGAAGACGAAGACTCGATCGCTGGGGCAATGCGTTTATTTGCCTGACGTTTCGACATCCGTCGCGGTTACTGATAATGAATCCGTGACGGATGTCGAAACGTCAGGCAAATAAACGTATTGCCCCAGCGATCGAGTCTTCGTCTTCTCAATTACTTCCTGGGACACGCATGTTCGCTTGTATTGGTAATAGTCGGTTATCAATAATAAAATGCAGATTTAATGTGCATCTTCGTAATAGTTTCTCTAATGCATTCGTTGATATTAATAGTCCGTTCTGATTTGCCAATATTAATTCGTAAATTTAATCGACTCTCCCTGTGACCGGGATGTTTGCAAACAGCGACTGGACGTCCAGGGGGAGCATCATAACGTTGTTTAAGTTCGTGTCTTTGATGTCTTCGATAAATTCGAACGTATCTTGATAGCTACGTGGTGCCAGCTGCTGCTGTAAGGGTTTGAGTTTCTCTGTTAACCATTTCGTTTTCGCATTATATGGCCATTTGCACTTGTCTAAAATTGGACGAACTCGTAGGCCATCCATGTGGATCTTCGGTAAACCATACAAACAGGAAATGTGCGTTCGTACTCTTTTCAGGTTTTTTAATGTTTGGCCAATTTTTTTAATGTTTGCCTATTCCTATTTATCCTGGGTTCTTAGATAGCAGTTGCATCTTTGTTTTTATTATCTTCTATCGAGGTTGGAACTTTCAAGTACTCTATAAATTATTGGGGTTTTTCATTGTCAAACAAAGATTTGATGGATATGGTTAAGTATTCTTGCCCACTCGCTTCGCCGGATTATTCTATGCTGCAAACTAAAACTATTTAGAAGATTGCGGAGCTACTTTGCATTTTATTCAAGTTTATCTTTTTTGCCAGTTATGTTACGGTTCAAAAGGTCATCCGGAAGTAAATGGCTACAGTTGTGCTTCCTAAACTGTGAGAATTTACGCTGCAAACCTTTAAATGTTTGCTTGTTTTGGCAGGTACCGAGAAAGATATTGGTGCGAACAGTAACACAGCCACACAGATGCTCAGGCACAGTCAAGGTGACCAACCCGACATTGAACCCTCTTTCCTGAGGTAAGCACTGTGGTATTTTACTTCCATTTAGGCCAACAGACGTCCATTGGACTGTTTCGGCCATTTATAACAATAGCGGCTCCGGGAAAATTTAATTTAGGATCAACTACAATTTATTTAAATGACCAATTACTTGCGCGTGATAATTAAAATGAGAAATACAATCAATAGGGAAGAGGAAGTCCCAATAATGCCCGAAAGTACACGATATTCGACTCATCTCTATAGAGTTGATATAAAGATGATATTAATAAAGTTTATTGCTAAGGCACCTCTTGGAAACCGTTGGTTTAGTCCATAATTTCGGCTTAGAAGCTACCTTTATGTCAACGCAATAGAGGTGATATAGAGTTGATATAAAGCCGAAGACTGTGCCCAATTGGGCACTATTGGGCCTTCGTCTTCCCTATTAGTTGTATTTCTAAGTTTAATTATCGCGCGAACTATTTGGTTATTTAAATAGTTGCTTTTATTATTTTCTACTTTTATGCGCTCTAGTTTTCCTCTGCCTTAACATGCCATATCCATTTAACCCTTATCACAACCTCTCCCGTATTACAGAGGGATGGGGTTTTCGCGTGCTGTAGTGGACCCTAAATTAAACTTCAACCCAGTATCTCCTCTACCTAATCAGGATATGACCTTTCCGTATGAATAACAAGATACACTACGCGGTCTAGTTGTGTGGCTCGTTCGTTTGCCCTATTGTGTTCAGAGTTCGTTGAGGATAAAAGATTTGTTAGGTATTTTACTATCAAATTTAAAATTTCGGCACCAACAGAACCCTCTTTTCGGTCGTACTTTATGGCTGAACAAAAAGATTTTCTTCTGACACAAGTATGTGCATGTTTCTTTGAAAAAGCTTTTTCCTTCCATCTAGTGAGGTCTTTGTGGGAGACTGAATAAGTACACATGTGTACCTGGCTGCACTGGTAAATAACACAGCTGGACGATAAAAGGCGTATGCCAGATTAGGGTAGATTAATGACCTCCTGACGGTGTACTTTAGTGGAATTTTTTTGTTTCAGGAACTCTTAATCGGTCTTTTTGGCCTACCACCGGATCTTGAATTTGACTCCCTCCCTGAATACCTTGGTCCAGCGGTCTGGTTATCGTATGAGACTCGTGTTTTATATCCCCCTTGCCCCGCATTTTGTTACTAACTACACAATGTCTACGCTTTATTTTTGCGCTGTTTTGTTTTGACTTCCAACTCGAATGCGATAAGTAGGCAGCAAACTAGGCAATTAACTTCTGCTTGGATGAGACAAAGCTGTTTAGTGGTGCACCGAATATAAGGAACGCAGGGGACCCCAAAACTAGCATTTCACTCGTGAGTTTCCGAATCCTCGCAGGAGCCTGTTATCAAAGGCAATGAACAAGCAATACCATGTGTGCAGTCTTTTGTAATTTATGACCGTACTTTCCCTGGTGAGATCGAACTAAATTCACTTAGTTGTGGGTACGCATTGCTAGAAAGTAAATAGACAGCCGATTAATCGGATGGGGTTTGTCAGATTCCATATCAAATTACCTTTGCAACTGATGAGCCCGATCTCAGAAGAACTCATCCCATGAATGCACATGCGCAGGCTGGTCATTTGCATAAGAGACCCTCTGTCTAAAATCGCTTTGTTCATCGAGCAGGCTTATTTAGAACGTCCAGTAATTTTTCAGCTCATTAGAGGCCTTTCGGTCATACTCTCCTAAATGGCTAGGAAAAATTGTAAGGTCTGTGCAGCTGACGGGTCATATGAAAGCTCGTGTATCCAGTAGCATTTTGCTGAGCGTTTTGAGCATTTTGTCGAGCTGAAGTTACCTTATGCCTTTGTATGGGCATTGAATCTGCAATAGGGACAGATGGATAAGAAAATGCCTCACAGCCTTAAGGGGATCTATATTAGAGAAAACATGAAGTGCCCAATAACTCCTGAATTGCGATAAATAAACTTTTCGACTCCTCATGCAAGTTTTTATGCTAGCCTCGAACATTTTGAAATGCCTACGCAAACAACGAGGCTCCCTATACATTTTCTCCTTCTTATAAATTCCGAAATATCTTGTTAAAATCCTCACGAGCGTCCTTCGACCGTATATTTATGGTCTTTTTAAAACAAAGTCTGAGTTTGCGTTCGGACTAATAAACATGGTTTATCTTCATTGTCTCAGGCAAATATGTTCGAAAAACTCCCCCGTACTACAACAAATCCTATGAAAGTTGATACTGGGCAGAAGACACGCGGGAGTGAGATTCGATGAGAGACCATGGCTAACAATCTGCCAGAACCGCAAGAGGCGGTATGGCTGCAGCACCACCTAGAATGGGGCGCGATCTTGATGATTCTGCCGGAGTAAGACCAATCGGTGTTGTAGTCCAAGAGCGAAA